CATGCAAGTGCTGTACGTTCATGCGTCGACTATGCCGAGTTGTGCGTTCGCGCGTGTAAAAAATAACTAGTTTTGACGACCTCCATCTCTCGGTTTACTACGATGTGATGATCTCTATCGTAGTCGAAACTAAACAAGTCTTATTCGGTCATTCGGTCTGCATTGCGGTCTGGAGTGTACTTATAGTGCTATGTAGTTAAGGAAAAACAGATAGATAGAGAGTGTGTGTGAGAGAGAGAGAGAATTGTGCGTGCACATCACCCATGTAGATCGAACGGTCGTCGAATCGCATATGTACACGCAAGCTAGAAATTCTGCGGTTTCAGCCGACACACATTTACGAGCATAGGTTTTTGTTGTTCTACCGATCCAAAACGATATTTTTTTTTGGTTTTTTTTTTCCAGTAAAAACCGGTCCGATGAAAATATATAGATACCGTCTACACGAAAATGTATACGGCACAATGTGCCATCGTCTCGATTGTCTAATTATACCTTGCGCTTGCATTATAGTATTATTATTGCTATAATGTGATTAAATAATTTATAACGCGCGCATAAAGTACTCACTCGACGAATACAGAGTGTCTGCAGAACAAAGTCTGCGTCTCGAGAAGTTTCCTACCGTCGATAGCTGGTCTAGTCTTGCTGTATTTTAACGGATATTTTACGAAGATTCTTCGTAAACGGAGTCTCCCTTGTTGTCTGTGAAAACCGGGTCATGTTCACAGATCTAAGATTACCGATGCATCCGGCAGTGCCGAAAACGCTCCATAATACGTTGTTCACACACGATTTTTTATCCCGTACGGGCTGACCAGCTACATGTCGGGTCATCTTCCGGTCGATAAACCGAACCGTTTACAAAATCGCATCAAAGCAGCAGTAATAAGCGATGACTACCTAGCGTGAGCCCTTAGAGCGAGTTTCAGCAGTTGCATCGTCAACGTCATTAGATCTGCCGTTCGGTAGGGGTGCACGGATATTATCTTGAACTTCTGCGATCACATAAAACTAGGTGACTATTTAATGCACACGGTGTTAAGTTTATCGTTTTTATTTTTTTATAATATTCGTTTTTAATAATCCCGGACATTCGACTGCAACAGACATCTTGTATAATAAATGAACAGTTATAGAAACGCGCACGAGTACGAATTCTACAAAAAAACCGATCGGATCAGATATCACGTGCACACACGTTGCTGCAGTATTCCGATGCTAGACACGCGCAACCTTATAAAAGCCGATGCGGCCGTTTCGTATTGTTTCGTTCAAATGTCATTCCGTATTTCACGCCTTTACCACCGAACACAAAACCTGCGTGCTTCCCAGCAGTACGAGTGATTAATATTTTGACGGTTCATATTGTACTATTTAAATAGTTAATAGATACAACTATATTGAGGGGTCTGAATAAAATATTGCCCGTAGGGGCAATTATATGAGGGCTAGAGGGGGCTTAGAGTCCTTAATATTTGTCTAGCCACCGCAAATATTTATCTATCCCCCAAATCGTAGGCATAGATACAAAAAAGAAATACAAATATTAATGTAAGTAACAGTCATTACAGAAAATATTAAAAAAATTTTCCTTTCAAACATAAAACCCTAGTTGTGCCTTTGATATTACCTAAATATTATTGCGTTGCCTGAACTTAAATAGCCGTCATTCAAAATACGAGCAGCACACAGATGAATTTCTAATAAATAATAACTTTCGTTATTATTTTTCTTAAAAAAGACAGAATAGAAAGATTAGAAATTAAACCTTAATTCTTGTGTTGCTAATATTGTTGTATCAATCGAAGTGTCCATCACAGTTTAAATCTGGACTTAGTCCGACGGATTAGGTTCTCAGGCCCTCGGAGGATTTAGTCCATCGGACTAGGTACTCAGTTGTGTTCACTATTAATAAAAATAATAATTTGCCTTTGACAAAAGAAAAGTTAATAGGCGGTGTCGGATTGATGGTCGGTTACATTATATTACAAATAGGAAAATGAGATGTAATTGGGCCAAAAACTGGCTCGCTAAAAGGGACTTGTTTGGTCATATGCCGTTATTACGTGTATTGAGCGAAAATTAACCAAATGATATAGTATGATAATAGGCCGCGCACACACGAACGGATTTTATAACGGATCTGGTCTGACGGATTAAATCATTCCTTGTGTGCAAAATCTAATTCCGACGATGTAACATAGTAATCACATCAAGATGTGCGACTGTTATGTTTTTTGCGCATGGACATCTCAGAGAATATCTAGGAACGCTTAATGTTCAGAAACAGGAAGTGTTACTAAATGCGATGTTCACAAAAATACTTTACATGTGAAATCACTTCTTACGTGCAATATTCAATCTTAGCGAAGTAATATAGTGCTACCATTGTGCTATGAGAAGTTTATTTAACTACTCAGGGGCCTCCCAGAGATATCTCTGGGATGCTTAATGTTCTAAAATGAGAAGTTACAGACAGTCTATGTTACATCACATTGCAACTTTTATTTACAGTCGTTTGTAATATGAATGTCCGGAAAAAAAAAACAAAAAATATAGATGATAGGTTTAGATGGTGTTTTACTCATAGTGAGATTTGAACGTAATATCCCTAACATTCTATTACCTACGCTTAACCTATCGGGAAGTTAATTAGTTGAGGATGAGGTTCAGGGATTGGATTGATAACATTGAACATTTTTATTATAACTGAAGATGTTGGATTATCAAAAAAAGATGAATAATTTAGTTTAATTACTTTAATTTTTATTTCACCATTAAAATATTTTATTATTTTATTAATTCTGATTATTTCATCATTATGTAAAATTAAATATTTATCTTTTACGTTTTTAGAACTTGCAATGAATTTTTCTAAAATAACTAATTTATATAAAATTTCTATTATTGATTCATTTGATATTTTGTTGTACGGCAGTTCATTTTTAAGAATAGGATAAATGAGAATGATAAAATTAGTTTGAGAATTTACTTGTTTGATTATGCAATTATATACATCTTGAAGGGGATCTATAGAATTTTTACTAGATTTTTTAATGAATATCCGACATACTTGCGATGTAGTATAATAATATACATAATATATATTATATTATTCTATTTTTAAATAATATAATATATTTTATTATTAATTTGAAGTACCCTATGATATCTATGCGAGTGCATAAATATGATAATCGCAATATTAATTCCATATACTTTCACAAAAGTCAATCGCGTACACTTCCTTCTAAGATTTTTCAGAGACGTAATTTTGAATTAAATTTGTTACACGTTATTTATGCGATAACGTATAGAAGTCACTTTCCGTAGTCACATATGAGATCTTAAAACTACAGTCGCATAGTTGTTAACATCCTGAATTTGCACACATGATTAGGTCCTCAATGAATTTGGTTCGTCGGACTAGATCCTAAGTTGTGTCCACTGACGTGAAAATAAAAATTCGCTATATTTCGCGGATCGAATCCACCAGCGGACTAAATCCGCTAGTTTGGAATAAAGTTGTCTTATCAGTTATTATTGTTATGTTATTAATTTGTGATAAGTAAATGTTATTTTATACTCATACATTCTAAATATATAATTAATGTTTAATAATATGAATAAACATAATAATAATAATATGCCTTCGAGAAAAAAAAATTGATAGCTGCTGCAGGATTGATGATCGTGTACCATTATACCTCGAAGAGAAAAATGAAGGTTAAGTGAGTAAAAAACTGGCTCACTAGAATGGACTTGTTTGGTCATATGCCATTATTAAAAGAGTTGAACGAAATGTAAAGAATTATTATTTAAAAAAAGAAAATTCCATCGAAAACACTGAGATTTACAAATTAATAAATTTAAAAAAAATTCTTTAACTAACCTTTGATAAGTAAACAGATGATATTGTATCAATGATAAGGATAAAAGAAAAATTATTATCAATAAATGAAAATTTCTTATCGATATCCGCCGGACCCGATCTATTTAATTAGTGGAGAAGCGAGAGATTTAATCCGTCGGACTAAATCTGCCAGATTTTCATTTTTCCAGGATTCAATCCTTAGAACACTATACACGGTTGGACTTTTTAAAAGATTTAGTCCATCACAGACCAAATCCGTCTTAAAATCCTCTCGTGTATGGACATCTAATAATAAATAATAATTTCTTATTGAAGTCCGGCGGACCGGGTCTTTCTAGTTAGCGGAGAAGCGAGATACTTGATCCGCAGGACTAAATCCGCCGGATTTTCATTTGCAACAAATTGAATTCGTCGAACAGCACACACGGTAGGACTTTTAAGAGGATTTTATCCGCCGCAGACGAAATCCGTTTTAAAATCCTCTCGTGTACGGGCACCTAATGTTTTCTTATGTTTTTGTTCCAAGCGACGGTATTCCGGGTGGAAAAACAAAAATATATTATGCTCTTTTTGTGTCTGCCCCGCGTGAACCCACGACCCGACATGTTTTCATCGCGTGATGTTTCAGTAGTTATATAGTTTCGAGTCGGAACATTATTATAACAATACCAGTCTCAAAGTACTAGACCGCTGTATGCAACGCGGTCGATTCGTCGGTATTTTTTCAATTGAAATTATAATAGTTTTATATTATTATCCGGCGCACGGATCATGTTATGATCGAAAACGCCACCGCCGGTGCAACGTGTCTTTTAAAATCGATTGTAATATTATAATTTCAATCGTATGTGTGTAACGTACACACGCGTTATTGTGGATCTGATCCGACGTTAGCGTGTTGTACAAACACCGTCATCGATCAAGACGTGTGTGGGTCGACTTGAGCAATGGACCGCGACGCGCAACAATGATATACGTATTATAATGTGAACAACTGTATTGTTATGGCAGTACGGATCCGTATCATTACAACGATTATTATTATTTGTTTAACGTCGAATACGGCGTAATGCAATGTGCTGCCTCGGAATAATTGTAATATCGATTTACGTTTGTGTTTCAGATTGCAATTACCTGCTGAGCTGTGTCCGGGACGACACCCTGCGGCTGATCGATCTCAGGACGAACAAGATATTCAACACATTCGAGCAAGTCATACATTTTATTTGATTCCCGTGCACACACATAATATAACGTACACACCGACACATACGTATCATTAATATGCATTACAATATCCATTTGCCCGGGAGATCGGTGTTCTAAATTATGATTATACGTACGCGAGAAAACAACGGTCGTGATAAAATCACCGTATCCTAGACTTGTGCCGGGCACGCAAGACGTTGACGACGCGTCGCCGAAGTGCACTTAATTCCACGCATAGGCGCACATTTGGTCTGTAACGTGAGAAAACCATTTATCCCAGGATAACATTTCACAGGAATTTCGTCCCTTACCACTTGACATAAAATATTTTGATTTCGAAATAAAACTGCAAATTACAACGTAAAATCGAATCGCGATTATTTTCTAAGAGTTTAACACGAGGAACCTATTAACGGGAATCTCCTCAGTGTTAACGGCGTGAAAATAATTATTATTCATCATTAGGTACTCATCTCGTCGTATATGTTTGTACTATTTCGACATGATTACCAATGCATTGTATAGTTTTACCAGTGCAAACTGAAATACACTTATTCTCATAAACGCAGAAATTTTTAATTTATTAAATAAATTTATAAATAATAATTAAATAAATAATATCAGAAATAACCTTAAAACAGTGTTTGTAGCTCAAAATGAACCGGTGGAAGCTAATTTATGACTTAAGGATGCTAAGTGCCTCCTGACGCCCCCGTACGAGTGCTAATACTTCCAGGGAACAAGTTTATTATTATACTATTATTATTACGCTTCCTGTTTAGATATTTTTATGTTTTGCAACTTCAAATAGTATACCGATTACGCGGTTTAAAGTATGTAATTCTAATGCGCTTTTTATTTATACACTTTTTTTCACATACTCTTTTAATATCTGTTAGTTTTCCACATTACGACTTGGACGTTTTTTTATTTTCCAATCTCTTTTACAAAAATGCTGAACAAATATCCGTAATAATTAATGCGTACATGTGTATATAATTCAATGAAGGAAATTCAAAAAGTTTTCTTTTTAATCACAGAGGAAAAATGTCAATGTACTTAATACTATACAGAGGTTTTATTTAATGACTAAATATTCTTTGTTGTTTTCTTGGAATTTTTCGTCGAAAAAAAACGAAACCAAAAAGTGTATACACTAGCATCGCAGTTTAGGTATAATAACATATGCATCGTTGTTTTTACTTCACGAAATTGATCCTATTCTTTTTAACTTTTTTTCTCCAACGTATACGATTGGTTCCGTTAATATCTAGTTATTAGAGACGATCAACCGACATGCTATATTCTTCTGACAAGTTCGTGTTTTTTACGCGATCGTTTATAAAAAAAAAAAGTAAAAACCGTTATTAAGACATAAATCCTAATAAGATTCAAATTATTAAATCTTATGGAGTATACTGTTTGATTTATAACTCTGTATTTATCTCTAACACCATATTATTATGTTACTTAATTATAAAAATTGATTTAAAAACGAATACACTTTAATGTAGTATTTAACTTTCTGTGATATTTCCGTCGTACGTGTATAGTAAAAAAAAAAAACTATAGGTACTTAATTCGTATATACACCAATAATTATGCATTCTTATGGTATTCGGTTATTCAATTTAATGTACAACGTTTTATTATATTATTATATTATATTCATTAACTTTTTTCGGGTCAACTAAAACAAAATAATAATACAAATTATATTTTAACGATAGATTACGTTGTCGGCAGCGCGTAGTAACTTACATATACATATATATCGATGTTAATACGTATAGCCTATAAAAGGATATTATAATAACGAATTTTATCACTTATAGGTTTGATATCGTTTTTATTTAAATATTTTCGATCGTAAAACTCGCACAGACACAACATATACATATTATACGGACCACCGAAGAATCAACTCGAAGTACGAAGAAATCTCCGATTTACGACTTTGGGGATTTTTATTTGATTTAATTAACATTGCAATATTCGGATTTACAATATCGATTCTACAAATATAATTCAATTTTTTTTTTTTTTTTTTTTTTTAATATCCTATTAATTCGTTTAATGATTTTCATTATTATTTATTAATTAATTACACAATCAACCATTTGTTGAAAATTGATCGGTATACACTTATTGATATATTCACTCATGTTCTACGTCTAACATATAATCATAATCGTATACATTGTATTACGAAATAATTTCATATCTCGTATTAGGTCTCGAAAATTATTTTCTCGTAACAGTAAACTGAATATGGTTTACTCCCTACGGTAAATCGTTCTCCCACAGCTTTACGAAATTCCATAACGTATCCGTATATAATTATTAATTCGTGTTAACAACGTAGTATGTCCAGTATAATCGAAATAAAATACATAAAATGAACTCTTATCTACTAAGGTGATAAAAAATTATTTGATCAAACTTTGGTCTATCTTGACGTGGTAATAAGTGGAACCGATTTTTTTTTTTTTAATTTCGCAAATAAAATACTTTTAAAGTGCACTGACAGTCTAAAAATTTTGAATTTATTTCAAAACTAACTAACCCCTTTCCTTATCGAAATCGTTTATTTTGTAGACATGGCATGCATGGTTTTAAGATTTTTAGACGCTATCGAGTGGGTTTGGGGAGGCCACTAATGTTTAGTTTTGCAATTAATTATAAGGTAAATGATTATTATACATAATAACGATTCCCAAACTTTTTAGGGTCACGCATCCCCGAAACAAAAAAAATTATGAATCACGTCTCCCATAAATAAACGAATCAACATTTTTTATTATTTAAGTATAATAATTATTGTCGATCTTAAAATAAATATATAATGGTGTACTATACAGTATAAATATTTGCCTTGCGCCTCCCAAAAGAGTCGTGCCTCACAGGAACCTCTGACGCATAAGCTTGATTTAGTTAACTAATCTCTCTTTAAATTTTGGAAAAATGTTCTCCTACACTCTGTACGTGTATTATGTGTGACGACGTATTACTTGAACACGTCGCAAAACGTTTCCAAACAGATCCCGAGTATAACTGCTTGTCTTAAACGGATATCGCGGTATTCAGTATTATCTAGTATTCCAATGAGACAGCATGCAATCGGGGGACTGAGAACCTAGATCAATTTTAAAAGACAGTAGCTTATCTACTTATTACATTGAGCGTGGCTCCAAATTTTGGAGGGGGGGGATAAAATTACTGATAGGTGCGCTCATGTTTAAGGAATAACTTTATTAGTATTAAATACGCAAAAATATTATTGCTAAAAGATAAGCTGGTATTTCGTTTAAAACGAAACACGTTCTTTCGACGTTACGCTATTCCGTTTCGGACATTTTTCACTGCAATAAATAATGATTATGCATTTCTTGTACTCATGTGTCCGGCTTGCGCGTGTGTTCAAACAGTGCTGACGGGTTCAAAGTGGGCTGCGACTGGACGAGAGCGGTATTCAACTTGGAATACGATCACGTGGCTGTCGGGTCCTCTGACGGTTCGGTATTTATTTGGAACGTGTCGAACCCTGGGAAACCGCTCGTGGTGTTGAGGAACGAACACAGGTATGTCGTATTTTTTGTTTTTTAAAAATTTTTTTTCCGATTCGATCGCCAACTATCGCTTAATGTAATTCTATTTTTAATTTTTTTTTACAATTTAAGTTATATTTACAAAATTATGTATGAAATAATGTAGTTCTCGCTTATGAGTTCTCATATTTTCACTGTCGAAGTATCGTTATAGGTACATCAAACCACGACGGTAATAGAAATAATATATCATATCGGTCTACGGTTTAGATGTGTACTCGAGTACAAGTTCGATAATATTATAGATGGATTTGTAATACAGTATAACATATTTATAAATTTCGAACGGCGTAGGGTTTTTTTTTTTTTTTTGTATGAAATAAATTATAATGTATATACAGTAAGGGCGGCGGGTGGACGTCTGAAAACGTAGAAATAATGTATACTTGCGAAAAAATATTTTATAATATTGCATCTGTCCGATGTCACATGTTGACCCAGGGTCCTATTGTCGCCTGCGGGGCACGTCGGTTTGCATTTATTATTTTGACTACCTGTCTCCCTCCATCCACGCATAAATATTTACCTGCGCTGTGACCTTAAACGCGCGCGTTAATATCACCGTGAACGGGCGGAACTCTTTTTGCCCAAAAATGACCTTCCTCTTTTTACCCACGTCCTCATTTCGACCAAAAATGAAAAAACAGTTTCCTCTTTTTGCCCAAAAATAATTGTATTCTTTTCGCCCATAGTTTTACGTTTTACATTTTGGAAACCACTTTCTCAAAATTAATAATTTTTAAAAAATCTTATTTGATATTCGATAAAATCACGTTTTTGATTGTTATTAATATAGTCAGTCGAGAAAAGTGTATAAAGGTGCCGACTCTTCTATCGAAATATATAGTTTAAAACACTTTAATAAACGTTATAACATAATTACTTAAAAGTCATAATTAATATGAATATTTGTATTATTTTACAACAACAAAACAAACTATTTATTTAAGTAGTAACCTGATCAAATTACTTATTAGTTATTTTACATCGATAACACTATTTCAAATACTTATTTTTAACACTTATTAAATTATTATTAATAATTATATATTTTTTCTATTTTTTTATTTGATTATTATATGATTTTTTTAAAAATTATTAATTTTGAGACAGTGGTTTCCAAAATGTAAAACGTGAAACCATGGGCGAAAAGAATACAATTATTTTTGGGCGAAAAGAGGAAACTGTTTTTTCATTTTAGATCGAAAAGAGGACGTGGGCAAAAAGAGGAAGGTCATTTTTGGGCGAAAGGAATACCGCCCCCGTGAACTGAGGCTGAGACGGGTGACGCATTGTTTTGAAAAATCGTTTGAAAAATCCGAAACCAACAGGTTGCTGCACGGTATGTATTCGCACAGCGGTCTTGCAGCGGCATTCTCATCTAGCCCTTGTCCAAGTTCGAAATCGTTTAACTCGCACCGTTCGTGGATGCGTAGGCAGCGGTGTTCGTAAGCGACGAATTTGGCACATAAAAAGTTTAGTACTCCGATCGTTCCTTTCCCACTCATCCTTCTTCCGGTTGAACATATCAAATATATGCCCGTCCCTGTCCCCGCCGTCTGTTTATATATTTATATATAGTGTATATACTACTTATGAACGCTATATCCTATAAATTGACCCTTGAAAACTTTGACCCGAAACGATTTTTCTCCACACTAGTCCCGTTCCCCTCCCCCCACACCACCACTCTGTTGCAGATATTTCTCTCCCTCTTCAAACCGCATCTACTTCTTTCTTTCAGTAGGTATTCCTTCAGGGTCGGTTCGTAGCGATCGTTATAAAGTTGTATACCCGTTTTTATAAAATATTAAAATCACGCATAAATGGTTCACGTGCAATTCCGTTTTTCAGTTCACCAGTGACGGCCGTGTCTTGGCATCAGTTCACCAACAACGTGGCCAGCGTGGATAGATCCAGAAGAGCAGTGGTCTGGGCGGACGTTTGACACTCGACGCCGCTTCGGTGGTTTGTTTTGATTTTATTTTATTACTTTTTTTTTTAATTTCTGTTTACAGGTTTATTATATACCACATTACTACTGCGTATCACGTTTAATTTCCTTATTAAAAAAAAAAAAAAAAAAAAACATATATATATATATATTTACCATTCAAACAGATTAATTAAAAAGAAAATTCGACATCATATTATATAATATATTTTTGTAATATGTATATTTTATGCGTATACATTGTTATATTATTTTTGTGAATCATGATCGTTTTTGTCGCGCGTGTATGCTTGTGTGTACAATATATTATACTATTATAAATATTATTTTATTTTTTAGACTTATTCGATAATGTGAGATTATTTTATAAATTTCATATACATGTGTTTTGAATAATAAAATGTTCCAATTCTTTTTTGCTTTTTTTTTTTTTTCTTGGTCGCGCCTCGTTCAGATCTCCTCTTATAGTATACGTTCCCGCGCTGCAGGTCCACACCGCGGTGGTAAATTACTACCATTTTAATGACACGTTTGCCCTGAACGGTCTACTCCAGCCTATATAGTGGTGTGTAACGTGGTCGAGGGTGACCAGTTAAAAATAGGATATTCAGGGAAGGTTTTCTTTTTCTTTTTAATACATTCAGCCGTTAGCTCGGAAGCATTAAAGAGAAAGATCTTAATATTATGAATAAATTTAGATTGGTTTAGATAATTAATTAGGTTTATTGCATAAATATAACTTACGGATATCGTTTTATACATCGGAAGAATACGGAGTTCAGCTATAATATATGGTTGTCGTGACCGAGTGCCGTTTCATACATATATTTAATATTTACCATAGGCCCTATGGTAGAGGAGAGCGTAGAGCCTAATCAGCTAATACACGTATTGGCATACCGTGTGTATAAGCTAATTGTGTTATAACAATCGTTACAGTTGATTCCAGTCATCAAATTGCGTAATAGACGGTTTATTGACTGTGGCCGAATAATATTGGTTTTGAAATGTCGAGATGATTGCAGTTCTGAGCATTTTTCTGACCAGAACATTTTTCCGCATTCGTTCGATATTTTAAAGTGATAATATTTGAGATTCTGTCTACAATTGTAACGTGAACGCTATGGGGTGGATTTAAATTTAAAAAAAATCAGTCCTCCAACTACGAGTATATCTCTGCGTTGTATATCATTTGAAGACTTTTAACATTGTCATTTATTATTCAAACGAGAAAAAAACTCAAATAGAATAAAATCGAGTCTTGAATGATAGACTTGATGCCGCATATTTTACTATTCAGGCTTATCGCTTCAAAAGTATAGATTGATTATAGAAAATGTATATAGGTACAATTGTTGTTACGTACAGCGTTCTACGTTCTTTCGTGGAAAAATTAATCGATTTTAATTATTAGTGCCAATAATTTACCGAAAGGAATGTAAGTATTATAAATATTATGTATATATATTAAACATTCATTATCATTGTTATCAAAATTCCACGCTTTAAAGGGACTACGCCACTTTTAAGAAAATCATATTTCATTTCAAAGTGACGTGATACCGAAAACCTTGCCCCGGGCTTAGGCTCCATAGATCGACGATAATGGGGACTAAAATACGAGTTCTTACATTGCGAGTGTGTGACGAGTGACCGTGTTCCTCGTGGATCTATTAATAAAATAGTCATTTTTTTGCAATATTTTGACCGAAAACCCTTATTTTGCACGACAAACCATTTAATATAAATTCTTAGTTGACATTAATTTTATTTTTGTCTTAAAAAAGAAAATATAACCTATGATGTATATAAACAAAAAATTTACAATAATTAATAACTTTGGAACAATTTTTGTGAGCAAAAAAATAAAAAAAGGAAAATTGAGTTTCTACTATAAATTTATACTGAACGGTTTTGCCCCGCGGTGTTAAAGGTAATTTCATGTTTAAATTATTGGGTTCTCATGTTCTTTTATGGATTAAGTAAGTAAAGAGGATTTGTAATTTTTTACATAGAAATTCAATTATATAGAATATATATATATATATATATATATATATATATATATATATATATGTATTTTTTTATATATATAGAATCTGTATCTATATTATAGAATATATAATTAAATATAAATAAAAACTTATTAGCATTCGAAATATGTAGGTATATTTTAACAATTTTAATAATACATCAATTTCATTTTTTACAATTTCATTATTTTTTTATGATCAATATTGATTGCAACAATTTCCCCGTAAATTATATCTATTCAAACGACGTATCTAATCAAAGAATCAAGTTATCTTACTATTATAATTAAATTATCATTATTACTAATAAGTACTATTATCTTTTGAAGCAATGTCTGCACTCATTAATTTTTTTTTTAAATACACTTTATTATTATGTACGTTGCTTATTAATTGTATTCTAATCGACGATATCACTCTTGTGTCTTTGTGGCCCGAGAAAAAATAATGCAATGGCGTTCGGGTGGTCTTTGATATAAGTACACAAAAATGTTCTATTGCTAAATCCTCTCTATAAATAATTGTGCCTTCTTCGTTACACGGCAGTGCGGTATCTATAGTCACTTTGGTAGCTCGCTCGCCCGCGAATTGACTTGGATCGGAGACCGCAAGTTTATGTATTCCAATATGATTAAATAAACGCATTTCCGCGTTAGATGACATAGAAAGAAATCAACGATCACATTATACTATAAAAATTGTCCCGTCCCGTTTTCGAAAACAAGAATCACAGTATTTAAGATTAAGTCATTGAAGATAATTTTTTTCCTTATCTTTAATATCCTACAGTAAGCCAGTGGGTGAGTAAACTTTGTACAACAAAATTGAAAAAGTCTTATTTTGTTTTTACACCGATTATGCGGTGATTAAGAAACAATGAACTATGTATTTTTTTTTAATTTTAACTTAACGTTATTTTTTAATGTTTTTAAACGAAATTTATATAATTGAAAATCTAGAAAATATGTATTCGATATTTTTATTTTTTGAGTTGATACGATCAGTGGTGGTGACAAAGGCGGTTAGTGTGGACACCTCTGGCTCACCCGTTGGCCCGCCTAAACATTTTTATTGAATTTAATAGTTTAAATTATAATCGTTAATGTAGTAAGCCCAAGGCTAAGCATATTTAATAATCAATATTCAATATAATTTAGTATACATATTAATAACTATGCCTACGTGCAGGAAATCCAGGGCATGGGTGAAAACAACCTGTAGTTTTAAATAATTATGCCTAATCGCAGGAAATCCAGAGCAAAGGTGCTTAACTGCAAAAAGTGTCTTAATATAATAATGATAAATCGACAGTAAAATAAAGTAATATTAGAAATAGGGCCACTTTTACGTCATTGGAACCCGTATAAATACGGGTTGACCATTTAGCATTATTCAGATGTAGATAGGGGTAGTTCTAATAGACAGTGTTATACTGGCCATTTCCCGTATTAATAAATTATTGCTCGCCGTGGACTTTGTTACAGCCACATCGACGCGAGTATATAATTCTTAGTCCAGAATAACTCGTCATTTTATTTTTTTGTGTTTTTAACTGTTTGTTAATTTATTGTGATAAATTATTAAAAACATTAAGTTTATAAGTTTAATATTCCAGTGTTTAATTATTCACCTACCTATCTCTCTCAACCCAACGTCTCAAGATAACATACAACGTGCTACGTCGTTAAATAATTAATGTGGTACCGATCGTAGTGTCCTGCACAACGATCACTACATTAAGTATTGTTACGTAAACAGTACATGTACCTGTAATTTCGTGGTCTAGTTTTCCTAAGTCATACACACGTCACACACAGCTATAGATATATTATGGACTGTGTACATTTTATAATTTATGTGGTTGTTCGCGGAAACGGCTTAGACGGGATTGCGGCAATATTATTGAATAAATCTAATTTTAGATAATTCTGAAATATGACCGTAAAGTCTAGATTTCAATCATCGGTACATAAAACCTATACACCGACGTCCAATCAGTCTGTAATGTGGGCATGTAGCAGCTAGAGACTAGTGAACAGTGAACCTTTTTACTGACGTCGTAGCACAGTTTTTGTTTATTTAGTCGCGTACTCTTTTATTATTACCTTTTAATCTTTTATTCTTTTTTTCAAAATACAATATTAATCAAAATGTCTAAACGAGGTATAATACGTTTATTTTTTAACGTAGCTAATAAAAAAAAGTTTCTCCTGAATTACTTGATGTTACAAATTCGACCATCAGCCTACAGGTAATTCAATTTTGTTATGTATTAACTCTTTTATACTTTTTTGTACAATACTTAAATGTCTAAAACATATTGTATTTAAAACTTAAGAAATTACAGTTTAGATTTGTCGATAACATTAGTGAATCATTTTTTCCCGATGCGGAGCCCAAAAAAGGGCACTCAGGGCAGTCCAGCCTCTGTTAACAGAGCCCTAATATATATTGGTCTTCTTTTGGCCCGCCCCGGGAAAAATTCCCGGCGTCGCCATTATCCAGTGGCGAGGTATGTGCTGTTGTTTACTTCGATCAAATATTCCATATGACATTTGGAAATATTGATGAAACTGTTCAAGGTCATTCATTTGATGTGGACATTTTTTTTTTTTTTTTCCAGTAAATTCTCTTCGTACCTAATGTACTCGACGGATTCGAAATTCGATTTTACTCGAGACACACGCTCCGTACCATACTTGCCGTGACATCTAGGAACAGCAGCATGAAAAAACACGCTCTTTGAGTCCGACAGATGGCGATGCGCGTTTATAGCGTGTTCCGGTCCGATGGCCGCGCAATTGTTTTATTATTACGCGATTTGGCATTCGACCGGCATAAAACAAAAATCCTTAAATCGTCTGCGAACGAGGAATGAGATCCGAGATAATTTTTTAAAGTCAACAACGTATCGGAATCGTAAATACATTTATCTATTTATGTCGTTAAGATTACTGCGGTCGTTGCACTATTATCCGAAATTTAAAACAAATCACTTAAAAAATATCACTTTTTTAACTTTTATAAGTTCAAGTCATCACGTTTTGATATGTTTGTTGTAACTTTATGATTTTTACATGTGACGAGGTTCTAGTTTAGTGAAAACATAAAA